TTAAACCTGGTGGACAACTGTTAGAGGACACCACACTGCAAACCATCCTAAAAGTTAGGCATCTGAAACAAATGCCACAAGAGTGGAACGTCGGAGTCATATGCCCTCTGCACAAAAAGGGGACCAGTTGGAATGCAGCAACTATCCAGCGGTCACGTAACTCAAGACTGCTCACAAGGTATTGTCATATCCTGGCGGTTCGCATAGGGACGTACTTACGCGGAACTCAGAATCGGACAATGCCAATGCGGATTCGGAGCTGGTCCACCGACAACAGAACAAATTTTCATATTACGTCAAATGCTCGAGAAGTTACATGAATACAACATCGACATGTTTCACGTTTTCATCGATTTTAGAGCGGCATACAATAGTATCCTGAGACCAAAGTTTTACAAGGCTATGTATGAACTAGTTATGCCATTTAAAAATACAGAATGATGAAAAAAGTGGTTCGAGATACTAAAGGCACCATCGCCACCATCTTCAATAATTCGTTGCAGGCACAAACATACGCAAACGTCATGGACTTGGACCTCTAGAAAGCAAAAGAAAACCTTGTTAATTTTGAAAACGCCGAATATGGGACTACAAATAGATCCGGAGAAGACAAAGTTTACGCAGGTCAAAATATCACAACCAAGCCTCTCAAAAAGTATCAAAATTAGAATTTATAAGACCTCAATCATACCGGTGTGAATCTACGGCTCGGAAACCTGAACCTTCACAAAAGCAGTTGAGACGTTATTAGCAATATTTGTAAGAAAAATCCTTCAACAAATATATGGTGCTGTGCAAGAGGATAACCTCTGGAGACGTAGATATTTTTTTGAACTCCATACAGAGGGTCAGGAAATAGGGACATCATAACAACGATCATGATTGGTAGGCTAGATAGGCAGGACATGTCAGACGCTAAGACACAAGCGTAACAACAAGGCGAATCTTTGAGGTCATACCAACAGGCATCAGAGGCAGAGGAAGACCAAAGCTCAGAGGGACGGTGCTTTCGAGGACGCTGGAAACATTGGTAGAGCTAACTGGAAGCAAAAGACCGGAAAGGATGGCGGACGAAGCTGGAGAAAGTTGAGGCCCACCTGTAGGGCTGTAGGACTAATGATGATGATGATGGATGAAAATTCAATGTGCAACCATAATACTTAGGACAAGTTCAACCAGAAGAAAGTCAAAAAATCTTTAAAATAAAAAGAATTTCATCTATAAGGGTACCTACCCAGGGAATATGGAGGAAAAAAACATTATTGAAAAGACAAAAAAACGCATATTATGATTAAGATGACACCTTGTTATACATATAATTCTATGAAATCATCCTATTTTCCTATTTTATATATTCAACATACATTGTAATCTTGTTTTGTAATAGGCAAGTCCTACAATTAACAATGAAAATACTTATTAGGTACCTATTATAATTATTAAATATGAAAAAACAAATAAGCAAGGGGTAGTTAACTGGTCAAAAATTTTGTCTAAGAATTCCATAAAATCTTCTGGTTAAATGTTAAGGAATTTCTATGGGATTACTTGAAATTTTCGCGGAATTCCTATGGAATAACTTGAAATTTCAGTGGAATTCCGAAAAATTTCATGAAATTTCATAGTGTAATTCCGAGGAATTTTTGTTCAAGAATTCCATTGAATTTTATTGTGGTATTCCATAAAGTCTTATGGTGAAATTTAGAAAAATATTATGAAATCTTATAGTGAAATTTTTAGGAATTTCCGTTTTTCCAATTAAATGGAATTTCGAGGAATTTCATAAAATCTTCTGGTGAAATTCTAAGGAATTTTTTTGAAATTAACTACAATTTTCACGGAATTCCCATGGAATAACTTGAAATTTTAATGGAATTCCGGAGAATTTCATGAAATCTCATAGTGTAATTCCGAGGAATTTTTGTGCAAGAATTCCATTAAATTTTATGGAGGAAATCCATAGAATCTTATGATGAAATTCGGAAAAGTATTATGAAATTTTATAGTGAAATTTCTAGGAATTTACGTTTTTCCATTCAAATTTATCACTTGAATGGAATTTCGAGGAATTCCATGAAATCTTCTGGTGAAATTCTAAGGAATTTCTATGGAATTAGCTAAAATTTTCGCGGAATTCCCATGGAATAACTTGAAATTTTAGTGGAATTCCTTAAAATTTCATTAAATCTTATATTGTAATTCCGAAGAAAAAAAATTCCAAGTATTCTATTAAATTTTATGGTGGGAAAGAATTCACATCAAATTTTAGTTCCTCTCGAATTAAATGAAAATTCGAGAAAATAAATGAAATTTCAGTGGAATTTCGATCGATTACATGAAATCCTGAATGAGTTGCATGGAGGAATTCTAAACAATTACATTGAATTACACCGAAATTCCCAACATGAAATTTCAGTGCTCGTTAAATTACATAAATTTTTTTAAAAAAGTTTCAAAAAATTACATAATTTCCAGGAATTTTCGGCGAATTATATGGAGCTCCGATGCAACTGCATGGAATTCCAAGGAATTGTCAGGAAATTACATGAAATTTAAGTGGAATTTTGAAGAATTCTTATCGTTTCATAAGGAATTCCAGTGAAATTCCCAATGTAATTACATGAAGTTTTATTTTTATTCCAAGGAATTCCCAGTTAAAAACATGGCATCTTAGTGAAATTGAAATTCCGAAAAATTCTCATCGAATTACTGAATTTTAGTAAAATTAGAGAAAATTTCACAAGTGGAATTCTGAGGAATCCGCCTGAAAAACTTGGAATTTCGATGAAATTTGGAAAAATTCCCATGTAATGATATGAAATTTCAATACATATATTTCGGAGGAATTTCGATAAATTTTCAAGAAATTACTTGAAGTTTCATTAATATTCCCAGAAATTCCTGACTATTGAAAGAGAATTTCAGTGAAATTCCGAAAAAATTCTTATGGAAATAAATGAAATTTTGGAAATTAATTCGAAGTTCCATTGGAATTTCGAGAAATTTTGAACTAATAACGTGGTATTTCAGTGAAATTTCAAAAAATCCCCATAAAATTTTAGTGAAATTCCGAGGAATTTCTAAGAAATTACAGGAAATGTCAGTGAAATTCCGAAAAATTTTATAAAAATTTTGTAGAATTCCAGGATAGTTCAGTGGTGAAGTTTTGGGGAATTTCAGTAAAGTTTAAAAAAAAAAAATGGAATTTGGAATTTCTATAGAATTTTGGAGAATTTCAGTGGGATTTCGAAAAAAAAAAAAAAAAACATGAAATATTCGCAGAATTTCCATCAAATTATATATAATTTCACTTTGTGTCGACTTACATAAAATTTCGATGGAATGTCGAGTGAAATTCCAAGGAATTATCGTCGAATTAAATACATGGAATTCCTTGAAATCTTATTGTGGAATTCCAATGAAATTACATGGAATCCGAAAAATTCCCTTGGAATTAAACAGAATTTCCGTGGAATTTCTATGGAAACACGAGAACTTTCGACGGAATTCCGAAGAATTGAATTAAATTTTAGTGAAATTCGGAGTAATTTCTGTCGAATTACATAAAATTTTAGTGGAATTCCTGAAATTTCATGAAATCTTTTACTGTAATTCTGAGGAATTTTTGTACAAGAATTCCTTTGAATTTTATGGTGGAATTCCATGGAATCTTATGGTGAAATTAGGAAAAGTATTATGAAATCCTATGGTGAAATTTCTAGGACTGTCTGTTTTTCTATTCAAATTTGTCATTTGAATGAATTTCGAGGAATTCCATAAAATCTTTTAGTGAAATTCTAAGGAATTTCTATGGAATTAACAAAAATTTTCGCAGAAATTCCATGGAATAACTTGAAATTTTAGTGGAATGCCGAAGAATTTCATGAAATCTCATAAGTAGTGCAATTCCGAGGAATTTTTGTCCAATAATTCCATTGAATTATATGATGAAATCCGGAAAAGTATTATGAAATCATATAGTAAAATGTCTAGGAATTTCCGTTTTTCCATTTAAATTTGTCATTTGAATTTAGAATCTCTAAAAACTTTTCAAAAACCCCCAAAATACTCCAGAATCACCTAAAATTTTGAAAATCTGAAATCTTCTGAACTCCTGCAAAATCGTGTAAAGATTTTCAAAATTCCCAAAATCCTACAAAATCAATTAAGATTTAAAATATGTGTTCATTATTTTATAGAGTTAACTAAACCTCGGAGCGGTTGATTGGTCAAAAACTGTGAACAATAAGGTGGTCAAAATCCCAGAAAAACTCGTAAGATCTACTTAAAATCCCTGAAAATCTTTAAAATATTTAAAAATCCAACAAAATCTTCCTACCTAAATCATTAATATTACTAAAAAAAAAATTCCTTTAAAAGTTTCAAAAATTTATTGGAATCCCCAAAAATCCGTTAAAATTGCTAAAAATCCTTTAGGATCTCTAAAACCCCTTCTAACTTCACTAAAATGCTCCAAAATTACTTGAAATCTTTTAAAATCCTGTAAAATCAAGTGAAGATTTTCAAAATCCTCAAAATCCTACAAAATGAATAAAGATTTAAAATCTGTGTACATATTTTAAGGAGTTAACCACCCCTCGACAATAAGGTACCTAGAAAAAAGAAAACACAATATTGGGGGTTGTATATAATGTGGATTCCGCTCTTTTGAGGTAAGATATTGGTCAAGAGATTGTTAAAAAAATACATAATTAGTGACAATAAAAGTTTTCATATTTTTTGACCAAGCCTAGGTCAAGGTTAATGGATAAAAATGTAACTAATCACCTAGTTAAACAATCTATCCAATTATTAAAGGGTCTTCTATAGAAGTTATGAAGGTCAAGTGAAATTAATTAATTTCCAGATTGCGTGTAGCTAAAACTTACATAAAGCTAATTTATGTTTCACCTGCTGCAGGGCAAATTAATTCAAAGTTTTTTCGCTCAGGCAACGTAAAACCTTATCAATCGATTTATGAAAACTGCTAAAAAAATTACCTGCTCTATCTTCATCAACAAAGGAATTAACACTTAGAAAATTAGGCGAATTCAACACTAGCCCATTTTCGTCACTGTCAGGACTTAGAGCAACACCCCTTGAACTCATTTATGCACAAATTAATCGAATGATGATGCACTCAACAGACAAAACATTAATGCCGAAGCTTACGTTGTAAAAATACACGCCGCACTCAATACTGATGAAAAGTTAAAAATAGGTGTTTGAACTTTCTTGGCAAGGAAATTGAATTATTTGTGCCTTGACAATAACCCAATATTGAGAATCATTTAATTTTCCAATTCATTTAGGTTACGAAACCATTGCACTATTGCACTACTTGCTTGATTGGTTAGGTACGCGATCACTATCAGATAAAGTAAACTTATCTAATGCCAAACCCAGGCCATAATAATTGTGAAAAGATTGTAAATTTGTACTCATCACCGCATATGCGATTGCGATTAATAAGTAAATTTCGTTTTCGTACGACTGACTTCAAGGTTTTTCCATTTTTAGATAAAAAAGTATAAGTATGTGGTGTGGTTAAAAATAAGTTTTACATGGAATAGTTTTTTCTCAGAATAATATTTTAGTTTTTGGACAAAGCAAATATCAAGAAAATGCTCACTCATTGTTCCTTGTTATAGGTATCAATGGAGCAAAAATGCAAGCTATGAACCAGAAACAATCAAGGGAAAAGATAAAACAGCCTAAAATAATTATAAGCAAAATATAGATAACTATAGTAGAAAGAAGTACAAAAGACAATATAAACGAAAAAATATTGTGAGCGTATGATGGACTAACCAAGAGAAAATAAAATTCAAAACAAAGAAGCAAAAAAAGCCTAAAAAAAGTAAACAGAACAAAGAAAATGTATAAAATTGCAATCGAGTGGAAACAAAGTACAAAATAGGCACAAAGCAAAGCAATAGAAAAGTTAGGTACATGATAAACATACGTGATAATGTAAATTCTTCATCAGAATCGCAATCTTCAGTTTTAATAGTTCCTCTTTTAGACATTCAAGTAAAATTTCTTAGTCATTATAAAAAAAATTAAGATTTGACAAGTTTAATTGTTTTGACTTTCAATAACAAACTAACCCAAATGTGCCTGGAATTGACAATAAATTTTACATAGAACATACACGGTGTTTATTTGGAAACGAACAAAAAAAGACTTGAGAAGAACAATATGGAATACGAGAACATTTTCCTTTAAATTTAAAGGAAAATCGGAAGAGAAATACGAAAGGCAGAAAAATAAAATAAATACTGGGTAGAGATATATGGAGAGATTCAGGTTCTGGCTTGGGTTCTGGGAAAAGTATTGCTTTTCTAATAAACAAAAAAGGTCAAACAAGCTGCAGGGTTCCACAACAAAACACACTGTGAAGATTTTTTTAACAGAAACAACAAAACTATATAAATAAGTATCTACACATCTTAACTTTATTTCGATGGTCATGCTGAGCCTCAAGAATAATCCAAATGCGGAACAGATCCTGTTATTACATCGGACAAAGTTGGATGCCATGAAAACGGAAAAGTTCGAGGTTTAGAGAATACATAGTCAATGCCTTTAAGACTATCCAATGAAGACAATTGAAAGATCTTCAATTGGATATTATATACTTCTGGTCGTTTCAAAAATCAATGGCTCATCAGATCAACATTCATTATTTTACCTAAAAAACCAGGGGCCAAATATTGCTCATTGCTCTGATCATGATACTATTAAACCAAGTCCAAAAAATTATAATGTCTTTTTTATCGACTCCTGGGTTTTTTGGAATAGCAGGTAAAACTTGCTAAGAAAGGGGTGAACAGAAGTCGTTAATATTCTGTCAAGTTTAAGATTAATGAGGTCGAGAATAACGCTGAAATAAAATAAGCTTACAGGAACAGGGTGGGGCTGATAAAAATTGGTAAAGGTAAAATTATGAGCCAAAGGAAAATTTCATAGTTTAAAAAAAAAATTACATGTATTTTTAAATTTTATTTCCAATAAGGATCGTTTCCGTTTAATATTATCGTGAACATTTACATACTTACTTGCGGTTAACATTATTTTTAAGTACCCACTTTAATAGGCACGTTTTGTCCGATATATTGATAGTATGTTAGCATAGCTAGATAAAATTCTTTAACAGATAATTATTACAGTAGGTAACTACGTCCAGTATTCTATTTGAAAAATTCCACTGATTGTTGAATAGAAGTCGAATGACGTTGATGAAAAAAGAGATCATTAGTAGGTAGATGTAAACCACTACTATCCAAGTAGTGAGATGTGGAAAGGAGGAACCTGTTTCAAATCCAGTTAGTTTATCTTCAGAGCTAATGGAGAATTTCAAAAATCATTAAGGTTGCCAAGAAAAGAAGACAGCGTTTGATTTTGGAAAAAGCAAGTTGACGTCTTTGTGCAAGTGAAGATTACAGTATAAACCAATTTAGTGTGCAGAAGTCCAGGCCAGGTCATACAGGCCGATCAGCTAAGAAACTAGTTGAAAAGGAAAACCTCATTGAAACAGAGGCCACTTCACCATAACCAACATGCCTTCCAACCAGGCATATCATGCGAAACAGCTCTAGACCCACTGGTGAGAAGAGTAGAGAATTCGCTAGAAAACAAGGAAATTGCACTAGTGGTATTCCTTGACATAGAAGGAGCCTTTTACCACACCTCCTGCGACTCAGTCAAAGCTGCTGTGCAACATGCAATTAATGATACCACATGCAAATGGATCAAATCCATGCTAGAACACAGCACTATAAACTCGACTATTGCTAAAGCCTCTATAAAAGTAACCGCGACAAAAGGATGCAACTCTTGTGGAATCTAGTTGTGGATGAACTTCTGAGGTATCTCAACGATTAAGGCTACTTCACCCTAGGCTAAGCGATTGATATAGTCGTTGGCAATATGGGAGGATTTACCAGGACGCTAACAAACCTCATGCAGGGTGCCTTAGGAATTATTGAGGAATGGTGCACGAGGGAGCAATTTCGCTTCACCCCTTCCAAAACAAAACTCATGCCTTTTAGGAGAAAAAGAAATATGGAGGACTTGATACCCCCCAGTCTATTCCAAAAAACCTTGGAATTTGGTAGGGAAACTAAATTTCTGGGCGTCATCCTAGATATGAAGCTGACATGGAACCAAAACATTCAAAAGATAACCATGAGAAACAAGATGTCACTAAACAGAGCGACTGGGAAAGCATAGGGACTAAAACTGTCAGTTGTAATAGTTGCATGTGCACTGGGTATACCCTGGGGTTGTGAAACTAATGATACACAGGTAAAAACATTCTTATCTGTACAGACAGTCAAGCGTCGATTAAAGCACTCAACAGTTGCGAAATAAAATCCAAACTTGTCTGGAATGCTTGAAAAACCTCAAAAACCCAAGTATGGCCAACAAGGTAACCCTTAAATGGGTGCCAGGGCATAAATGAATTGAAGGAAATGAAAAAGCAGATGCTCTGGGATGCTCAAGGATCAACAAACGAGTTATACTGGTTCTGAACCGGCACCACAAAATCGTCGGTGACAATAAAAATAAACCAATGGGTATATAGGCAATACCAAACCCACTTCTTCCAAAGCTCAGACATAGTAAGCTAATGGTCGAGGGGTGTTTCACCCACTAAATTTTGTACACCTGTATATGACTGCATTGATCGCATCAAATATGATAGTTGACTGCATTGACTTCTGAGCAATGTCTCACAAGATTGCAGGCTCTACTCACAGTGACTGCTTACGATTGGTCGCGAGTGTATATGGAATGTACGCTACTGCATCTGACTGCACAGAATTCATTACGATTGCAAGCGACTGTATTATGACTGCATTGACTGCATCAGAATGTATGGACCAAAAGAATGTATGGACTGCATATACATGAATGTATGAAATTGGTGCACCTACTGCATAAGTGCAACACCCCTAGCTAATGGTACGACAACCATCACCTAAACTTACTGAAGAGATCCTACAATTAAACTGGAATCAAATCAGGCATAATCGGACACTGTAGCCTGAGAAAACACCTTCACACAATGGGCATCCTCGAAGAAGAACCCATATACAGACTTTGTGACGAGGAGGATGAAATCCTACCCATATGGTATGGAATATGAGGCTTTACGCTGGTGGAGATACGGACACATAGGGGGAGAAGACCCTATCTCTAAACTCACCAAAAACGACACTGTAACGAGGCTTCCAAACCTAATCAAAGTCACGAAACTTTCCACTAACTAAACAGACGAACAGGAGAATACAATAAGTCGGCGGCTGCAGTGTTCGGGCCACCTTACCCGGCCTGTTCACTCTGCATCTCAACCAACCAACTACTTCGCCACTACCATAAAGAACTTCCTTTCGCAAACCAGCTCCAAGTTAACTCCATGTTACCAGAAATGGTAAAAATTAGAAAACCAATGGTTATACCCGGTCATACTAGTCACTAAAGAAAGACCCATTAGGTACCTCGGATTGATGATATCCTCAACGAAAAGTTTCTCACCGGAATCCGAAGTGCCAACCTACAGTTGAACCCGGAGGAGTGTGTCCTGTTTCAAGAAAAAGCAATCTTCCTTGAGCATGTAGTTTCAAGGGGAATAGAGACCCAGAAAAAGTTTAGGCGGTATTAGATTGGCCCATACCAAAGAACAAAAATAAGGTAATATGACGGAACGAGCTATTGCCCCTTTTTGGGCTTTAGTCAAACCGCACCAGGGATGCCAAAAGTTTTTACTTTGACTGACTGTAAATATTAACCATTAGGTGTTGGATCATTTAAGCCTTGTATTGGGTTAGGGGTGCCTTGATTCTCATTTATACAAATAAAACACTGAAATGGAATAATTATCAATTTAATTAATAAATGAAAGTAATTCGGTATAGATCAATCAAATCCCATCTAAAAATTACTAATTGGACGTCCAGTCGAACTACAAATTTTATACTAATCTAAAGCAAAGTTTTCTATAAAGTATGTATCTTGATTTATAACGGGTAGGGAAATCTGATAATGATAATAACATCATTTATGGTTAAATGTTCAATGAACGAGAACACAAATTAACTAATTAAATGCACGAGAGCACAACATTAATAATTCGTCAACTTCAATCAGTTCACTGTAATCACAAAATGTTTATTGATCCTTGAAAGTTCTTTTATTTATTGAGACTTAACAATTTGAGCACTTTTCTGCGGAAGTCTGTAAACAATATGTGCAAGAAAAGACTTTATATATGCTCACTTTCTACATACAAATGTACAAATGTTAATTTAACGAGTGTGGAAACCAAATTACTGCATTAAAGGTTAGAAAACACTTTAATTTATAGTGCATTTCAAGCGAATCACTAATCAGTATTGATTGTTCAACTGTTAGAGAAATTGTAATGGCCTTACTTGCTTAATCCGGTTCATTCAGATAAATCCACAAGGCGATTATTTATCCATTTATCACCACTATTCACACTGGCAGCTAGGGAATTTTCCACTGAGATGAAAAGAAAACACAACGATATACAGGCGCGTTGGAGTCCGTCGAGAGTGAGAGAGAGCCAAAAGACAATCGCGTAGGAGAATTTTGCTCGTCCGAGGTGACTTGCAACAATTAGGGGTTAATTACATAAATTATAATCAATAATATAGACCATGTCAGGCCTTGAGACACAGAGAGTAGTATTTTAC